ATTCCCGAGCTGGGGAGTGTACAACCCGCTCAGCACGGGTGCGGCGCCGAGAAGCTTGGAGAGGCAGAGACAGTTCAGCGCAGGCGACGTCTGCAAGTTACCAGCCACTCGTTGGCGGCAGCGCGCAGCCCGCCCCGCCGACCAGTTCCAGACCTACCAGCACCGCATCGTTACTAGGGGCCATGGCAGCGGCTCCTTCACCAACAATCACGAGGGCGTGGCCTTCACCATCAGCAACCGCTACTGCATCAAGTGCCTGACCGCGCCCCCCCGCTCGCCGCCGAGCTTTCAAGGGCGCGCTGGAGCAGTTCGCCCTCGTCGCGGCGGACTTGACTCGAATTTCATTGCTGTGTCGCTTCCACCGCGGCCAGGGCCCGCCAAGCACCTCATCGGTCGAATCAAGAAGACCAACGAGAAGCTCAAGTGGATCTACCTGTCCCAGAACGCGACGCCCACCTGGAGCACGCCGATCATCGGCTCGGACCCGAACGACCACGACGGCCAGGAAGGATTGCTTCCCGACTCGCCCTACTACGCGAGCGGCGACGCAGGCCCTACAGGAGTGCATGGAGAGACCTCCGCTGCCTTCCACCTCGTGCCCGTCGTGAGCAGCAAGTGCATCCTGCTCTTTTTCAGGAATTCAGGGCCCCAGTGCATCGGTGCCCTTGGACAAGCCACAAGTCCCGACTACACCGCATTGCCCCGCGGCCAATGCTCCCATTCTACTTCTTGCAGAGGCTGGAGGCTTACGGCCAAGGCACCTTTACTCATCAACGACTACGTGCCGCGAGACCACGCCCTCCATAATACAGCCGCCAACGACAGCTTCCCGAATGTGGTCACCGTTCTCAAGAGGACCGCCTGGGACTACGACAAGGTGGCCCCGGCCCTGCAGAAGGGCAAATACCGCAAGGAGTTCGATGGCGCGCAGGAGTTCAACTTCGGCAAGCACCAGGACAAGATGCAGCAGTTGCTCGGGGTCCGCGCAGCGGACGAACACGGGGAGCTCATCGTGAACATCATGAAGGAGGCAGCCTACCCCCGCTTCGAGCGCCAGAAGCCCAAGCCCCGCCCACACTACCTGCTCATGAAGGAACGTCTGCGGCTACTCCAGGCGCGCTTCAATCTCAGAGAGGAGCACATCGAGACTGACCCCAACTACGAGACCGAGTACCAGATCGAGGTCCTCGCATACCTCCTCGAGAAGCAGAAGCAGAAGCGTGCTCCAGTGCCAGACTGGCCAGTGCCCGCAGAGAACTTCCAGCTGACCGTCCAGCCACCTACATCACCAAGCAGAAGCCGAAGCCGACTGGCGTGGGCTACGACGACGAGCTCGCAGAGGCTCTCCTAGCGCTGGAGAGCTTCGAGTCGGTCCTCAACCACGCATATCGCGTCGGCTTCGATTCACTCGATGCCCACCACAGCCAGAGCCGCACCCGCGACAAGAAGAACGGCAAGCCCACGGTCTTCGGCTTGCGCATACTCCACATGCCGCCTCCCTTCTGGCGCCGCTCCTACATGCAGCTTCGGTGCAAGTCCAAGCCGAGGCCACCTCCACCTCATGCTCACGGCTGCTGGCCCCAGTGGCGTCGCGAAGTCATACGACGCCAACAACGAGGAGGAGAAGCCTATCAGACCAAGTGCGACCCCAGGCTGAAAAAAATGCTCACGGTGACGATCAAGCAAGGGCTGGTCAACTCTCAGCAGATCGCCTGGGGCGTTTCCGCGGTCTACGGCTCGTACCCGCTGCCGCCTCAGACCAAGGTGATCAAGGCGCTCCGAGCCTGCAGGAAGATCTACGCGGACACGTGCTCCGAGGCGGGCAAGGGACTCTCGCTCAATTCGACCCTCTGCTCCGAGGACGTGGGCGCCAACACCAGGAGCATTCTCACAGAGCACGGGACGTTCGAGGACCAGTGTAGTGTGGCGACCGTCCCCCACAAAGTGAAATACCCGAAGATCAGCATGTGCCACGACAGCAACCAGGCGAATATCACACTGTACGTCGAGCAGGGGCCCGTGACCGACGCGGAGGCCGAGGAGGATCCCCCAGAGGAGCAGAGGCAGCCGAGCAACAACAAGGACAGCACCTTCCGAGCGCCCCCCACTGTGGGAGCTATGGTGCAGACGGGCATACCACCAGCGGGAGTCACGGAGGACGAGCTGGCTACATGGTGGGCAGGGCTCTGACCTCGGGTTCGTGAATGTGGATGGCCGACACGACTACGCCTCGTTCGGCAAGGTGATCGGCGTGCGTGGCGCTGTGATCACAATGAAGGTGCCGCTCTGAGCGGTGACGGCGGGGGCCCATCCTTGCGGCCGAATGCACTGCCTTGCCCCCCAATGCCGCTCTATCTACCTCCTCCTCCTCCTCCTCCTCCTCCTCCTCTCCTACCCCTAGGTAACGTTGGTGGAAAATGGGCCCCCCAGCTAAGGCGGGTAGGCGCACTGCCCAGCCCCAGGTCCGTCGTCGCCGGTCGCGCCCCGTGGTCTCCGATCGCGGCCACGGGCCGCGGCCCGTGGTCTCTGGTCTCCTGTGCGGTCTCGCGTGCAGTCTGGTGCAGTGTAGGCAGCCTGGGTTTTCTGCGGTCCGCGGCCGTGCCCGCGCGACCGCCCTGCCCTGCCCGTCGTGTCATCACGGGTCGGCCCTCGTGCCAGGGGCAGTGACATCTGCGAGCCAGGAGGGCCTCTTGAGGAATCGTTCCGAAGGCCGCTCACATTGACGAAATCATGCGCGCATCTCAGTCAGCTTGGCGCTCGCGCGCATGACTGATGGCCTTGATGGGCAGGCGCGCTCGCAGAACGCTTAACAATCTGTTCATATCTACTGGTCTTGACCGGCTTTTTGTCTAAGTGTGCTTGTGGGCTCCGCCTGTGCAGTATAGGCCAGAGTGAAATGAGTCTTGCGAGGTATGCGTCTTAGGAGGCTGTCTTGCGAGCGTGGCCGAACTTGTTCGGCCACCCCTCTGGCCTCCTTGTGGCCTCAGTTGACTTTTGCTTCCAGTGTGTTGCATCGCATTGCGTAGCATTCTCAACGCACGTCCTCTGGCGAGTAACTGCCCAAGACGGGCGGGGGTCACGAGGCTCCCCGCCCGTGGTCGACTTAGTTGTATCAGCTTGTGATGCGGTTGAAAGCCCCGCACGCAGGGAAATGGCCAGCATCTGTCCGGAATAATTGTCGTACTTTCCGCCCTTCCTGGTTTCTCCGCTTCTCTGTTCCAGCGCGTCTTGCTCTTCCTTCTCTCTCGCTCGTAGCTTCTTGGGTCAAGCTACTTTTGCCTTCGCTTAGGGCTTCGCCCTTCGCTTCGCTCTCATTAGAAACCTACTGCTATAAGCCGCTGCTAGGCCATGGCGCCTGGCCGCGCCGTCGGCCCACGGGTGAGTCCCACCTGGACCCTGACTCTGCCTGTCATGCGGGTTGGAACCCTGGCGACGTCGTCGAAGTGTAGTCGATGGATGCTACTCCCTGGAGCTGCAGCTGCGGACAATCTCGCCGTCACAACAGCAACAGATGCGATGACAGCACGACGGCGCCGGAAATACTATACAAATGCTCAACTTATTGTCGCTCGTATATACAATGCAGGAACATGACGACAGCACACTCCGGACACTCGTGGCAGACCAAGAGCAGGGAAGAAGCACGAGACCCGCCATTCATCCGTCGGAGGGGCTGTGGTCACACACGCAACAAAACACAACAACGTAGAGGCAACAGCAGACGGCAGCGGCAAGGACAAGGATAGAAACAGATAAGCAGGGACGCACAGCACGAGGAGGCAACAGCAGAATGCAGCGGAAAGGACGAGGAGAGAAGACAGAGAAGCAGGGACGCACAGCACGAGAGAAGCGAACAAACGAAGGAATAACAAACCAGCAAGATCCCTCCATCGCCAGAATAATGCTGTCTTTCTATCACCACACGAACATAATACACGACACTCGGACATCCGGTCCGAAGCATGTCCCCCAATCGCGCAAATACGAAACAATGCAGCATGCCCCCCACCATCGTCAGAAGAAAACGATCCATCAAACGCCAGAATAATATAACCGCGACAATCGGACACCCGGTCCGTAACATGTGCCGCAATCGCGCAAGCAAACGTGAACAAAGGAACGCAACATGCGTGCGCACGTGTTCACCACCGTACGGAGGGGCATTATCCTATCTTCGACCGTGCCAAACAGAACGCCTGTTTCAGACACAAAAGGTAAGGATGCTTCCGGCAAACACGTTTCACAGCGCGGTCCAGAACCGACCAGGGGAACTCAAGACAACGCAACTTAACGAGGACATGGGCGAGAAGAGAAGACGGGTCAGAATCAAGACATCGATCAAGAGTTTGCGCGACATGGCCCTCGATTGCCCCTATCATCACAGAAATAGGCCCGTTGCTATGAAACGCCTGGAACCGTGGCCAGGTCAGAGATGTGGGCGATTGACGAAGCAGATCGCCATTGCACGTGTGGGGCGCAAGGGACACGCTCTCACCAGACACTTGCACCTCCAAACCAACAAAAACAGAGGCATCTTCAATTTTCAACGACAAGGCTTTGACGCGCTGTTTCCTCCGAGCCCTGGTCAGAACAACATCTGTGCACATGCTCTCCACGTGATGAACGAATCGCTTCGATAGAGCGTCGACTTCCAGGAACACAGAACCGCTACCGGAAGACTTGGAGATCCGGCGTCTTTTTGGAGGAGGGCCTAATTCATAGTCGACCGCACATTTGGGAGGGAGCCAAAAACAATGAATACCATAAATGTCATCGACCCACTGGAGTCTCAGAACAGACACGTGATGCACAACATGCAAATCGATACCTTTCGGGAGCCGTGTGCTATCAGATTCGAGAACCAACAAACAAGATTACATACGCCAGGGGCATGGGGGCACCCTTGGGTCATCCCTTTGTGAGGAGCCACAAGCGCATTACCGAAATAGAGGAAGCCATGAGTAAGATCAAAATTGACAAGCCAAGGGATGTCTGACACATTTAAGATGTATTTATCTGCAGCCAAGGTACGCGAATTGTGCGGCCGAGCGTCGTCAACATCAGGCTTAGCCAGGCTCCGCAAATGACCTTTACACGCTCGGGAAAAGCACAGAGGAACACCACCTTGCGGAACCGGTTTGCGGCTGAACCAGGGTACCTGGACATGCATCCTATGAGTGCCGGCAACATTTTTCCACCTACTCATCAACCAATCAAGAGCACGGTGAATAAATACCCAAGGGACGTTGTTGAAGAAACCGTCAATGTCACGCTTGAAAGGCATGAACACGGGAATGAAGCCTCTCCGCCTATTCTCAGCAACATCAAGATTGAATGTATGGAAACAACCAATGACTTTCTGGTTCGACAACACACTGATCGAATCAGGGTAAACAAACCGGACAATGAAGTTGAGAGCACGGCACAACAGAGAGAACAGAGGTTTCAAACAATGAGACCACTACGAACCAACCGGGCGGCTCTTACGAACAAGGTCAGAATTTTTGGGCCACGCGTCAATCATGCCAATAGCATGGTGTATCTTAAACGCTCCTGGGCCTCGCGGAAACGATCATGCAAAGCGTTCCAACCCATGAAAGAAAGCACGGGACGATTGCTTCTGAACGCGCAAGCTCTAGCCCGGATTTGCCACCCACGAGGACACGATATAGCAACGGAAGAGGACAATTTGTCAATCGGCGTGATGACGTCACGCGAACGTCATGCTCAAGAACCCCTCGCTGCCGAAAACCACCGGCGTTTTGTAGTACAACTCACGAAAATACGCGTCGGCATCAGAAGCGTTCCATTGCATTCGGACACCGGCCTTGCCAAGGCGGCGAGCAAGTGCCTCCATGTTGTCATCAACGCACTTCATCACGTGCCCTTTTGACCACACGCACGGGCCGTCATAGTGAAAGAGACGCGGGATGGCACCATTAAGACGACAATTCTCAGCCCTCACACACAGGTGACCGTCATCTGGCAAAGGAACGCCCAAGCATGAACTCAAATCACTGCAAGTGCACGAAAAATCATAGGACTGCAACCGTTTTCCCCACCATTTTGAGTTTACAAGAACGTTCTTGGGAGAAGGCGAGAAGAGAGGACGAACGTGCACGGCAACAGCATGACCACGAGGGATACAAGGAGCACACATGTTACGAAACGACCTCATAATGACGTCATGCACGCGATAACCAGGAAGATGAGGCAACTTAGCAACACAATTGGTGTGATGCGTGCGTTTCGTGTCCCCCAAGACCTGAAATATCATCTGGCGGGCAACAAACAAGTTGGAACCGACGAGATTCTTCTCAACGCGATCAACAAGCATGTTAGCGAGCCCTGGCCGACGATCAATAAACGACTGCAGACATTTCAAGCTGTTGTTGCCCTTGCGCCTCAGCTTCCCCAGACGACACACTAAAACGGACAGCTGACCAAAAAGTGTCTGTCCTTTCGCCTAGGCACTGCCGTCCGACGAGCAGGGCAGAACGGCACCGCTCCGGGCCGGGAAGGTCGGGGGGCAGGGGAGGGGGGAGGACCTCCGATTGTGCCGAGGAGGAGGAGGAGGAGGAGGAGGAGAAGGATGAGGATGAGGAGGAGGAGGAGGAGGAGGAGGAGGAGGAGGAGGAGGAGGAGGAGGAGGGGAAGGAGGAGGAGGACGACGACGACGACGAGGAGGAGGAGGACGAGGAGGAGGAGGACGAGGAGGAGGGAGCTTGCAGTGAGCCTGCAGGCTCGCGGATGGCAGGGAAGGGGGGAAGGATAATGAGGGCGAAGAGGGTGGCACAGGACGAGCAGAGCACGCAACGGCGACGAGGACATGCGCGCACGACGGAGGGGGAGCAGGGGAACCAACGCTGCGGCAACGGCCAAAAGAGTGCAGGTGTAGCGAGAACGTCCAGGCGAAAGTGCCTGGGTGAAGCCGCCCAGGGGAAACGGTGGGGGCGAGAACGCCCGGGCGAAACCGAACAGGCCAGGGGGAGGGAGGGGGAGGAGGGAGGAGGGAGGAGTCCTCCCTCCTCCCTCCTCTCCAGAGGACCGCGAGGAAATCGAGGACGAGGGGAAATCGCCCGAGACAATGTCTGGACAGGGAGGACCAGGCGAAACCGACCGGACGAAACCGACCGGGCGAAACCGACCAGACGAAAACAACCGGGCGAAAACGTTCGGGCGAAACCGACAAGGCGAAACCGACCGGGCGAAACCGACCAGGCGAACTCGACCACCAGGTGAAAATGACCTGGGGGAAGCATTCGGGCGAAAACGACGGACGAAAACGACCAGACGAAAACGATTGGGCGAAAGTGACAAGCCGCAAACGACTTGGCCAAGCACGACCGTGCTCAAAAACCGTTCGGCTCAACCCGCTTTTGCGAAACCTCTCCGGCGAAACCGCCTGGGCGAAACAGGCTGGGCGAAATGGACTGGGCGAAACGGACCAGGCGAAACCGATCGGGCGAAAACGACCCGGCGAGCAAGTTCTGGGTGAGAACGACACCAGGCGAGACCGTCCCAGGCGAAAGCTTTCCGGGCGACAACGGCGCCAGGCGACACGGATCGGGCGAAAAACATTGGGCGGAACGTGCACCACATTTGCCTGGCCCGAGAGGGCCCATAGCTCAGGAACGCCGCCGCGGCGCTCTCGCTCGACGTCCACAGCTAGGTTCTCGGAGACCCAACAGCGGCTCCTCCAGTTCGCTTGAGGCGCCCTGGTCGTGCGACATATGCGTTCTCGCACTCAGGGGCGGCGCTCTCGCCCGAGATGTCCTCGCGATTCTGCTGGCTTTGCGCAAGCGCAGCTAACACGACAACTGCTCCCGCTCGATATGTCCTCACAGCTTATTCTGAGACGCTATGTAGCTACAGTCAACCCGCAAAGTAAGGATGGGCAACCTACCCAAGGGTATCCTTGCATCCTAGCCTCCTCGGTCCACCCTTGGCCACTGTCGTGGGCAGCGCCCCGCTCGAAAGGCCTTGAAATGGGCGCCCGAGGCCCTTGCATCCCCGTCGCGCCTCCTTACTGTACTGGTTCACCGTGTCTCCTCTCAGCCTCTCCTGAGACGCTACGCAGCTACCCAAACCGGGGAGGAGGGGAGGAGGGGAGGAGGGGAGGAGGGGAGGAGGGGGAGGGGAGGAGGGAGGTGGAGGAGGAGGAGAGAGGAGGAGGTGGACGGCAGGAGGAGGAGGAGGAGGAGGAGGAGGAGGGGAGGAGGAGGAGGAGGAGGGGAGGAGGGGAGGAGGGGAGGAGGGGAGGAGGGGAGCTGCCCAGGAGCCCTCGCAGTGCCAGCGCGCACGACCCGAGGCCACGCGTCGCGATCGGAGGCCGCCGGCCGCGAGCAGAGGCCTCGGGCCTCCGAGCTCGGCGCGCACGAGGCACCCAGTTGCCTTAGGCATATCTTAGGAGGGAGAGAAACACACAGACACAGAAAATCTTCGATTCCCCAGAAAATACGGGAAAACATGGGAAGTGGGGGGAAAGACAGAAACCCAGAAGATATGGGGAACTATGGGGGATCCTGTTATTTGTGTGTATTTATCTGTGTGTCCCAGGGCCCCTTCAGTATCTCTGAGTCGGGCATGCCCCTCTGCAGGAGGAATCTTCCAACATAGCCAACACAGATGATCACTTGCTGAAGATCTCCTTCTGCCTATCCTCGATGTTTCGTCCCAACTCCGTCCGTCGGGGCACGTGATGCCCGACCTGCAACATACTGTATAGGGGCCCTTCCAGGCAAGCGGGATTAATGCAGTTTTTAAAGCGTGTTTGCTGCCATCCTACTAGGGCGCTTGCGAAAGGCCATAGGAAAGGCAAGAGCCCGTGCCAGGCGTGGGAGTTCCCGCCATGGCCGCTGGGGGCTGCGACTGCCGCGCAACCGGGCAGCGGCGCCGACGGAACGGCCCGATGCTACGAAGCGCTTCTGCGTATGATTCGGCAAAGAGCCATCATTCGAGCGCAGCCCAAGCCAACTACTCTTCTAGAACATTTCAGCACCGCTCATCGTTAAGCGGGGCTCCTTTTGCTTCTTTCGCTGATCCCACTGTGAGATGGACTGGACTTTCTAGATGAGAACTCTGGCCGACGCGCATCTTGGAAACCATGATCGTCATCCGATCCTTTGGGCAGCTGGCACCGCGAGAAAACACAACGTCTCGAACAATGGCGACTTGAGCTCTCGATTCTTTCCTTCTGTGTGATTTCTCGAGTTGGACCGATAGATGCGCGTCCTTGGGACCGAAAAGGGACAAGTCGTTAGGCGCCGTTTTGTCGCGGTGGTCCAGCGTGCGTCGTTCTCTTTTCCTTCTTCTCATCCTCGGGCTAGGGCCCCCCCAGACATGGCCTTGCTTTCGGCGCAGCCCGCCTTTGGCCGAAGCTGGCGCAAGGTTTTCGAAAGCCAACGCCCTGTCGGCCATCCTTATCCTCATCCATCCTCATCATCCGCATCCTCTCTCGAGCATCCGTCGCTCCCCACGGGCTGGCGTGCCCGTGCATCCTCTTCGTCTTCTCTTCCATCGTTTTCCGCCGTCTTCTGTCTCTACGTTTCCTTCACTCTCCTCGTCCGTTTCTCATCGTTCGATGCCTCTCTCGCGCACCCGTCGGCCCCGATGGGCCAGCGGCGCGTCCGCGCCTCCTCGGTTTCTCCCTGGGTGACCCGGAGGGTGACGAGGGAACAGTGCGCAGTCTCACCTCCTCGCTCCTGTCCGCCACATGCTGCTGTTGGAGGGAGTGAGCAGCAAGTGGGAGGTTGAGAGGAGGTCTCGATTCTCACCGCCCACCCAACCACCCCAACCCACCCCGAAGGCCCAAAGTTATCCTCGATTCTATAGGCTTACGCCACATCCGCCGACCCCTCATCTTGGCGGTCTTGCCGGAACCTCGGGTTCACAGCCCGCAGTTGCCAGGCGTATCAGTGCGGCGGCGCGTGCAAGAGAAGACTACCGACGTCGGCGTTCTCCCGGAACCCTGCCAACGTCGCACGCGATGCAAAAAAGGGCACCCTGATATGCAAGACCTGCAAATGATGCCCAATCGGGGGCGCGCGTGCGGGGGAGGACAGGGGGGAGGGGGAGAGAGGGATGGGGGGTGAGGCGGAGGATGGGGGGAGAAGAATCGGGGAGGAAGAGGAGGAGGCGGGGGAGGAAGAGGAGGAGTGGGCGAGGAGGAGGTGGAGGAGGAGGAGAAGAGGGGGAGGACGGGGACACAGAGACGAAACTCTGGGATATGTGCTATTGGTTAGAAACTTGTTGTATGTGTATAGGGATCTCGCGGCACGCCTCTCGGGGACCTTTGGAAAGCAGTTTTGAACCCACCTGGCGGCCGAGGTGGAGGAGGAGGAGGAGGAGAAGGAGGAAGGGGACACAGAAACAAGGCTCTGGGTTATGGGTTTTGGGTTAGGGCCGTCTTGCACCAGCTTGGGACCAATTTGGAGACAGGTTTTGCCGTCTTGGGGTCGTCTTAGGCCGAATTGGGAGGCGTCCTGGGCCGTGTTGGGATTCTCTGGGGCCGTCTTGAGGCCCTCTTGGGGCGCCGTGGGGCGATCTTGGAGGCTCTTTGGGCTACGTGAGCCGACGGAAGCCGGGAAAGGCAACAATTGCAAACATGTTCAACAACGCAATGGAAATGTAATGAAATGCGTAATGTGCGCCTCTTTCAGATGTCCTGGGGGTCTTCTTGGAGACTTCGTGGGCGATAGTGAAAGCCTTGTCGGCCATCTTGAGGCCATTTTGGGCCGTCTTCGAACGTTCTTGGGCCGTGTTGGAGCCATCTTGGGCCGTTTTGGAGCCATCCTGGGCCGTTTTGGAGCAATCTTGGCCTCGAGAGCGCGAATCATTTTTTTGTGCGCAAACGCAACCCCGCCACCGTGCCTGGGTTGTTGATATGAGACTTGTGCGGTGATCGTTGGGATCTCTTGGGGGGCTTTTCGCGGGACTCTTGGAGGCAGTTTCGAAGCCTCTTGGGGGCCGTTTTGGAGCCTCTTGGGGGCCTCTTGGGGCCTCTTGTGGGCGTCTTGGGGGCCTCTTGGGGCCTCTTGGGGCCTTCTGGGGCCGCCTTGGGGCGGAAGGCTCGGATTGTCGGTTCGGGCTCCCCCTCTTGGGCACCTCTTGGGGCCGTCTTGGGGCCCTCTTGGGCTGTCTTGGGGGCCTCTTGGGCCGTCTTGGCGCCCTCCTGGGCCGACTTGGGCGCCTCTTGGGGGCCTCTCGGGGCGGTCTTGGGGTGCTCTGGGACCGTCTTCAACGCCGTGAAGGCCGAGAAGTAGTATGTGATCAAAATGTACGTTTTCCCATAGGAATTGACGATTTTCGGCGCTTCGGCCCTTCTGAGGACTGCTCTTGGAGGCGTCTTGGGCCGTCTTGGAGGCCTCTAGGCTCGTCTTGGGGGCATCTTGGGCGTCTGGGAGCGCTCGTTTGGCGCCTCGGAGCTCTCGTGAGCCGTCTTGGAGGAGTCTTGGGGCCTTCTTGGCCCGTCTTGATCCCCTTTTGGGCCCAAAAGAGCCCCGTGG